GGCGGAAGGCTGGCTTCAAGATGGCTGCGGAGTCGGGACCACCGTGCCAGGCGCTGCCGCTCTTGCTTCTGGAGAAAAAGGCATGCCGGAGCACTGAGGAGGCCTCAAAAACGGGCCTCTCGATTGCCGAGGGGCTGGCATTCCACATCTCAGGGATGGGTCAAGAAGGCAAAGTGCTACCAACCCCGAGACCAAGAGCACCCTTCAGAGAGGGAAGTGTATTTTTTGGTAACGCTACAGCTCATTCCGGAAAACCTAGACGCGGAATCCAAGAGGCCACAGAATGAGACGAGGCCACAGAATGAGACGAAACCACACTGAGCTAGAGGGTGGATTAAAAACGTTTGTCCCAATTATTATCATTTGGGGGGGGGGAGAGAAAACAAGCAGCATGGAGGGTGGGCTTGCCCCCTTGTCATCAGTAGTGTCCCTCCCAAGAATGCAGATGGCACACTGCACCAGGCAGAAAGAAGAGAGAAACAAGGGCTCCATGGCTGGTTTGAGGGCGGGGGTGGGGGAGACCAGGGATTCTCCTGGAGGTAGAAGCTAGGTTGGATCGTAGCTTCTACTGCTGCGGCTGTAAGTTAAGAGAGGATCGTAAGCAGGGGGCGGCACGTTTTGGGGGCGCAGGGAAAGCGGCAAGGCCCATGGGGGGGGGGGGACACGGGGTGTTGGGTCTCGCTTATCAGAGACCAGACATGTCAAAGCAGCTGAGACAGATTTCCTCTGTGGCGATGGGGGGGGTGTTTCCACAAGGAGACCAGAAAGGTCTGTGCCCCCTTTCCAAAGCTGGTGCCGAGCCATAACAAGTGAGGTCCTGTCTAAGATGAGACCAGAAAAAATATGAAAGTGGTAGGATTGGAAAAAACAAACAAATGTCAACAGATCACACCCAGGGCTGAATCAGCAGGGGGATTCTTGAATCCATTTTATAGTTAACGCACTGAACAAAGCCACACAAACACACCTCTTCTGCTCAGAGGTGATCCAGCATACCCGTATGGTTAAACAAGAGATGTTCTATTTGGGGGTTGAGAGAATAAACAAGAGATTAAAAAATAAAATAAAACCCAAAACAGGATTCCTAGACTGGCTTGCCTGGAGCAGTCAAGTCTCAATCCTTGGGCTAGAAGCTGAAAAGACGTTTCTAAAATTTCATTGTAAAGCCCGCTTTTAAAAACCTGGAACGCATCCCGACAGAACACGGATCTCTCCAGACCCTTCACCCGAGAAGGGGGAGAACATAAAACATTTCCTGGCTGATCTGGCGGTGAAAACCTGATACCGTTCGGACTTCCCAGCAGACAAAATTGTATTGTTCTGCTAGGACAGAATCCATATTGACCACTGCTACACTACAGAAGGCACCTTAGGACACGGGCTGAATGCAACCGCTTCCATTTCGACCTAGTTGAACCCTGGGAACTAGGAACCATGCTGTACAGTTTAAAAAGTAGGGTTTAGATATGTCAATGGTCACTTCCTTCAGCTCCCAAGAACAGCAGGCTTGGGGAGGGGAGGGTAACGCCATCATGCCACATCCCGCCATATTGTTTGTTTAGCAGTCGGCTGTATTCCACACATGGGACTGTCAGAAGGTCAACTGCGAGGCCCCACACTCTCACAACAGCCAAGCTGCGTTACAGAGAAAAATATATAAGAATGAAATTTGGGGATGAATTCCCTACAGTCCTAACAAAACCCCCAAAAATGAGTTCCCTTTGAGCAAAATGGAACGAGAAGGATAAATGTCTGGAGTAGAAGGGTGTGAATGCCTTCAGATAACTTCTCTGATTTCAGTCAAGGGAAAGGGGAAGATGTGGAGATTTGGAGGAAAGGAATTAACTTAAGAGCGGAGGTGCAGTGACAGATCTCCACAAAACCCTCTCAAGGGATATGAATCTGAAGATGACTGAAGGTTTTTTTGTTTTTTTTTAAAACCCTCAAACGCAGTGGTCCCCACAAACTGACAGGAACCGTGACAGTGACGGAAAGGCCAAGATCTCTGGAGGATCGCTCGAAGCTTCCCGTGAGGTGACGTTTGAACAGGGGCACCTTGTAGACGTCAGGGTCCCTCTAGCCGGGGAATTTTCTCTTTGGCACCAGAGAACATCGGAGGAAGTGATGAGGGGCGCCTTTGAGCGCACACCCCTGTAACCCCTCACACGCAGACCCCATGATGATCACAGCCTGGCAAAGACCCCTTTGTCCTTTCGGCACGGAACGGGCCGGTATCTAAATATAGAGCATGGGACATCTTTCAGCCCCCTCACCATCAAAGGCGGCCTTTTTTCTTTCCTCTGTCTTTCTCCTCTCTGCTTCAAGCTCCACTGTTGGTTTAAAATGGAGAGGTGGCGGGTCCTTGGAAGCAAGGGAGGCAGACAGGTTTTCACATCTAAAGAGGATTAGACCCACCAGGTTCAGAGCCCCCCCCCCCCCAAGTACTTTTTCCTATCTCCCTCTGGGCTAAGCTGCTTTACGTTGTCATCTCCCCCCCCCCCCGGGTTCACAAAGCTGATCTTCCCTTGGCCTATCTGCCTTTTTCTCTGGAGTGGTTGCTGGAGACGGAAAATACCCACCAATTAGGCCTACCACCTACACTTAGCTGCAGCCAAAATAATCACCTAAGCTCCCTGGCGACGGCTGAACCACCTCTGGGGCCTGCCAGTTCTCAGAAGACAATGCCTTTTGCCTCGCTCAGAGTGACTGAAACGGGCCGGTTTCGCAGCCGAACGCCAGGTCTCTGGGGATTCACACAACTGGGGAGAACCGAGGTTGAACCAGCACGGTCCTTAAATCTGGCTTAACGGACGTGCCCTCGAGACTGGGTGAATGGACCCCTTTGCATGCAACTGCTATACCATCAGCTTCGAGCGGCTTTTGGTTTCTCCCTCACACTCTATTTTGGGGGGGAAAATATCCCGTTTCGTTGCCATACGAAATTTTCACGGGCACAAAAAGGGCCCACGCTGACCCAGTCCGACTTGAAAAATCTTTCCTGCTCGAAGAAAACTCACTGAAACCAGTGAGGGCAAACGGATGACACTGCGGCGATTCCCAAAGCCCACCTGAGCTACAAATGTTAAAAAACGGGCCAAAAGAAAAGTCACTGATCCCAAGGCAGATGATTAAATCCAGAAGGCCGTTGTCTCAAGAGTCTTTTGAGAGACACCGACAGCTTCCGGAAGATTTGGAATGAATCCCAAAACGGCGACTCTCGCCAGAAACAATCCCAAGCCCTCTCTTACAGCAGCTCTTCTGGTTAAGCCGGCATCAGCCGCCATTTAATTGTTACTAGCTGAGGTAAACTATGCCCATTTAATTGTTACTAGCTGAGGTAAACTATGCCCGTTTGTAAGCAAGCATCCACCTTGATGTTCCCTTGGGGCACAGATGGGAGAGTTAAGGCAATGTTCATGAACGCCCCCACCCCCCCCCCCTGAGAAATTAAAATAACCAAGTAGTTGGAAAAACAGTACGAACCAAACAAGCAAAAATGGTAACACGTATATGATTGGGTTGCGTGCTATTAGGTCGGATTTTCATTCGCTCCTAACATGGCTCCTTTAGATGCTACAGTGGTCAATCTTTCCCCCCAGCTGGTTTTCCTAGGGGGGGGGAAACTAAGCCCCCAAAAAGCTACCCTTCCCTCAGACCCTACTTATACGCTGTCTGTATATCGGCTTTAAAATATTTCAGCGTTGATGACTTCTGGTGATCTTCCACATATTGCCAAAAGGAGGTGGATGGGGGTGGAATCGAAGGCTCTTCTTCCCCACCAGGAGATGGGAAAGCAGGGAGTAGAAAGCTGAGGTAGAGACCACGGGCGTGGCCACGCCAAGGCGAATAGGAGGCTGTTCCTGAGGAAGTCACGCGGCGACTTGCAGAGTTAAGCCTCCTCACTGCGACCGACCTGCATCCAGAGCAGAAGTTCTGGAAAAAGCTAAGCAGTTATCTTGCCCCTTTGTAACTAGGCATCGGGAGGCGGCAGAGACACCACAGAAAACGGACTGGAGAGAAGCAGCTGCCCTTCAGATCCACCTGAGCGGCCTCAGGGCATTCATTTCGAAAGGGAAGCGGTCCAAGACATCCGCCTGTTGCATCAAAGGGGGTGTGGAGAGTTGAAGCCTAGCAAGCTGCCCCTTACGATCCTCTCCCCCTCCTAAAAACGGGCGGCTCTATGCAAAAATACCCTCCTATGAAATGCAGAGTCAGCCGCACAAGCCCTGCCCCTGGGGGCTGATGAGGCCCCGCCTTCTGTATGTAGGACCACTTGAGTTCACTTGCTAAGAGGGCACGTTGCCCTACAATATTATCAGAAGATGGGGGAGGGGGATAGTTCTCCCCCAGCCAGCAAACAAAAAAAGCTTTTTGAAAGTGTCTTCCCTGAATGAATGAACACTAAAAATAGAGATCTGTTTGTTTGCTTTAGGGTCTGTTTTTCCTCTCTCTCCCTTTTGCACTGCCTTTCAAAACTAAGATCTATTTACAAAAAGAGAAAGGAAAAAGCCTTTAAAGCTCTATAGATTCTTTGAAGGAGGTTTGTTTTTAAGGGGGGGGGATTTAATGCGAATAATGCTCTCCTCCCTCTCACCATTTGTAAAAATTATTTTCTGTTGGTTTTATAATATATATATACATACACACACACACACACACACTCACACACATATATTATATGATCTATTAGCAAAAGGAGATAATAATATATTTTTAAAATAAGAGAGAGAGTGTGCAAAGCTTGGGTTTGCATGAGGTAAAAGAGTTGTGGATTGATTACGCTTCACATCAAACCGCCCATCGACCGTGTGGCTCAGAAGTTCAATGAAACACTCACTGTCCCCCCCCCCGGCAAAAGCTCTTTCCACCACCCCCACCTTTCAATATATCCATTTATCACAAAAATATTCAGCACAGGAAGGAAAGGGGGGGAGGAACGTGAGCCCCATTTTTAACCGCCGCCCCCCCCCCCTTTCACCGGCAAAAATGCAACTGTCGAGTTTGGTTTGTATTTGGTGTCAGCTATAGAGGAAGCGAGTTTGATCTTCCTTTGGCCCGGTGCAGACGATACTGCCCTTTACTCACTGCGCCCGACACACAACCGGGGTGCGGGATTATAGCTTCCTGAGCTGGCTGACATCTCTGGACGTCCGCTTGAGGAAGGCACGTTTGATTAGCGCCGCAACGTTCAGTGTGTGGAAGCCCGAACGCGTGAGCTCAGTTGCACGGGCCACAGTTCTGGGCCTACACCGACGGACCGTTGCGTGGGTGCACCCTATTCAAACACACCTCCATCTTGAGGATGTGTGGGAAGGGGCGGTGGAGGGAAGTAGGCACCGCCCCCTCCAAAGTACGGCAAGCAAGTAAGGGGGGGGGTATATCGTCTGACCCGGGCCTATGCTTTGGCGGGATGGAGAGAAGAAGGTTTGTCGGGCTTTAAGGCGAAGAGGAGTTGGTTGAGGTAGATGTCGGAGGAGCGGCCGAGCCGACCTGAGGAGCCGCCGCTACTCCGCTGCTCCGGCCACCTGTGCTCCCGCCGGCGGCGCTCTGCCCGCTGTTGGTGTTCCCTTTGCTGACGGAAGAGGACGCTGTGCCAGGGGTCTGCGCAAACAACACACCTGGAAAGGGAAAGGGAAGGACTGTCAAAACACGTCGGCCCGACATCCAGACAATCGCCAGCCCTGCCAAGGAGCCCCGAACAGTGCCAGCGGGACTACAAACGCACTTCTTATCCTGAGACAGGGTCCCTAACCTTTTCGAGCCTGCGAGTGCTTTGGGAATTCCGACGCGGGGCGGTGGGCACAATCTCAAAATGGCTGCTGTAGGGGGTGGACCCCGTCCCCAAGTGGCTGCTGCAGGAGGTGAAGCCACCGGCAGAATGCCCGGGAGCGAGGTTATCTACAACTGCAGTAGCGCCTCTTCAACGTTTCAGGCAGGGATGCCTTGTCATTTGCATGGCCAATCAGAAGCCCCGCAGCAGGGCAAAAGCCCCACTTAACCCCGCCCACTTTTTAAAAGCTCTTTTGGGGGGCACCAGGAAAGGTGTCAGTGGGGGCCATAGCACCCATGGTCACCTTGTTGGGGACCCCTGTTCTAAGAGAATAAACAAGGCCCTGCTAGAACACCCCCATCCCACCCTGTACTTCCTCCCTACTCACTCTGCCTAGTTATGCATCTCCCTCTCCGTGGATGAGGCCGGGCTTTGCGCTCCCCCCCCCCCCCAGTGTTGTGTGGGCTTCTATGACCTCTGCACATAGACCTAGTTAACCCCACAGGAGGGGTTAACACCCACGTTAACCTACTTGTCAGGGTAGTTATGAGGATAAAATGGAAGGCGGGAGGACAACTTAAGCTGCTTTGGGTCTCCACTAAGGAGAATGGTGGAGTATAAGAGGAGGAGGAGGAGGAGGAGAAGAAGAAGAGATTGGATTTATACCCCGCCCTTCACTCGAAGTCTCAGAGCGGCTTACAAACTCCTTTCCCTTCCCCTCCCCACAACAGACACCCTGTGAGGTAGGTGGGGCTGAGAGAGCTCTGAGAGAACTGCTCTTTCAAGGACAGCTCTGACAGAACTATGGCTTGCCCAAGGTCATCCAGCAGCTGCAAGTGGAGGAGGAGTGGGGAATCCCGGTTCTCCCAGATTAGAGTCCACACACTGAACCACTACACTAAACCTTGCATATTTTCCTGCAAACCTGAGGATTAGAAGAGATTGGATTTATACCCCGCCCTCCACTCGGCGTCTCAGAGCGGCTTTCAGTCTCCTTCCCTTTTTCTCCCCACAACAGACCCTCTGTGAGGTAGGTGAGGCTCAGAGAGCTATTTTCGAGGACTGCTCCTGAGAGAACTTGTGACTGACCAATGGTTGTGACCCTGCAGGTTGGATGGGGGAGAACCAAAAATATAGAAGCTGTAATGATGTACAAAACGCTTGTAATCTCACAATAACGATACAAAAATGAACAGTCAAATGGAAAAACATTAATTCCCAACAAGTATCAGAAAGATGGACGAACTTCTCCGAAGTTTTGGCATTCGTTTCGTGAAGAACTTCTTCCAAACATCAAGATGTGATAGTGTCGCTTCTTATTCCATAATGCGTAAATCCAATACAAAGGTATTAATATCCTATATGTTGAACATGTTCTTACATAACAAATCCTTCCATCAACGGGCACACTAGTCAAGGCTGCTAGTACAATTCGTGTGCCCATTGATGGAAGGATTTGTTATGTAAGAACATGTTCAACATATAGGATATTAATACCTTTGTATTGGATTTACAATAACAGTGTTACAGTAACAGCGTTCCGTGCGCCTTGGTGTTTAGTCATGCCGGCCACATGACCACGGAAATGTCTTTGGACAGCGCTGGCTCTTCGGCTTTGAAACGGAGATGAGCACCGCAACCCTAGAGTCGGATTCGACTGGCTTTCGAGCAGGGGAACCTTTACCTTTACTTTATTGGATTTACACATTATGGAATAAGAAGCGACACTATCACATCTTGAGGTTTGGAAGAAGTTCTTCACGAAACGAATGCCAAAACTCCGGAGAGGTTCGTCCATCTTTCTGATACCTGTTGGGAATTAATATTTTTCCATTGGACTGTTTATTTTTGTATCATTATTGTGAGATGATTAGCGTTTTGTACATCATTACAGCTTCTATATTTTTGGTTCTCTACACTAGCTGTAACCCCTTAGTTTTGTTGGTTGGATGGGGGAGACATCCGGGAACACAGCTCACAGGTACCTCAAGCCTGCCAGGCTAGGGTAATAGAATTTAGTTAATCAATCGGCTAAATTTACTCCCCCCCCCCCCCCCCAGCCCCACATTTGGTAAAGGACAAGAGTTCTGAGGAGACATAGCCCCCACCGCACCCTTTACCTGTATAAACGATGCCGTTGATCTCGACGGACATGCTGATGCTGTTGGTGCCGTTGGGGGCCAGGCTTGTGGCAGAACCTTGGCGGTTTTCTGGCAGACAACAAGGTGAACAGAAAAAACGTTCAATACACTGAGAAAACGAACCCCCCCACACAATATTCACATTAATTCATCTGCACAGAGATATGGCTACAGTCAGAAGAAATCTCTGCGGTGGGGGAAGAACAGCGGCAGGACACAAAAACCCAGCTTTCGTTTCGAAAAACAATTAAGTCTCTCTCTCTCATGGTGGCAGAGAAGTACATGAGGGGCGCCCTGCTTGGAAGCTGGAGAGACGGGTACGGTAAAACCTCCAGCAATCTGAGGCACGGGCTTTTTAAGGCCTTCGGCCCTTTCTTAGGAGCTAAAAACAAAGACTTGTTCAGATTGCAGAATTCAACTTTTCTTTGGAATTTGGATTTGTTTTTTGGGAAAGGGGGAGATTTTTTCATTGTCCTGCCACACCAAATATACATGTAGGAGAAGGATGGATCTATACCCTGCCCCTTCACTCAGAGTCTCAGAGGGGTTTACAATCGCCTTCCCTTCCTCTCCCCACAACAGACACCCTGTGAGATAGGTGGGGCTGAGAAAGCTCTGAGTACTGCTCCTGAGAGAACAGCTCTGAGAGAACTGTGGCTTGCCCAGGATCACCCAGCAGCTGCGTGCGGAGGAGTAGGGAATCAACCCCGGTTCTCCGGAGTAGATTCCGCCGCTCCTAACCACTACACGAAACTGGCCCGCATAATGTTGTACGAGGCATGCTCACAATGCAAATATTGTTGGACACTGTGCAAGCTGGACCCTGAACTGCCTTCTGGAGTCAGACACCTGGGCCCCATTAGCTCAGCATCACCTGCTCTGGCAGACAGCCCAGCATCACCTACTCTGGCAGACAGCTGCTCTCCACTAAGGCAAACACACCCCTGCCTCCCTGGGGTCCATGCATCTATCCCACCCTAGCTATTTAACCCCAGTTAGATTAGCTTATATCACATCAAACCCATCCTCTTTCTGCTGGAAACTATGTGGCAATAAAGCCACATATATCCACAATTGATGGAGTTGTATAAAAATTCAACAGTTTTGGAAACTAATTGTAAAACAAATAGAGATACTTACAGGCCATGCTATACCATTGGACCCCACCTTAATACTGTTAAACTTATGGCCAAACGACGAATACCCAACAAACACCAAGCAGCTAATTAATATACTTATCACAGCTGCGAAAATAGTTATCGCACAGAAATGGAAAGATACCCAAACACCCACCATAACCCAATGGATTCACAAGGTATGGGACCTTTTCCTACTAGAAAAATTTTCTATATACAATACTAGACACCAAAACGAGTGTGATTTTTATAACCCATTGGATAAATGGAACCCCATATTGGATAAAATCTCAATCGATAAATTCGATTGGGAGACAATTTCTAAGGCAAAATACCAAATTATGCTTTATGGACAATAGTTTATTACTAGAGAAATTTGAATTAACAAGTTGAACAAAATTATTTGTTTATCATTGTAAGGGCTGTGTAATAAACACATGAAGTCAAATGTGTACATGTACGAATATCATTTTACGTCAGAAGAAGACGTTGTCGAAACGGCTTCACATTCCGGAGCCGCCGTCTTTGTTATCTTCTATAACTGGATTTACAATTTGAGTGTATTAGTATCATTTTTGTAATTTTCATATTTATAATATTATTGTTATTGTTAAAGAAACATTGAGCGCACTTTACACAGTTCCTGTGGCTCTATCTTTTCATGACCCATGGTCACACCAGCAGCTGCATGGGGAGGCGTGGGGAATCAAACCCGGTTCTCCCAGATTAGAGTCCGCGCTCTTAACCATGACACCAAACAGGATCTCCCCCGTGGGCTGACCTGGCGAGCGAGTCCCTCGGCTGTTGATCCGGATGCTCATGGGCAGCTGGGCTGTCATGGCCAGGAGGTTCTGCTGGATTGCCCGCTGCATCAGCCGCTGCTGCTCGTCCGAGGTGAGCGCCATCTTCTTCTCCGGGGGCTCCCCCGCCTCCAGCTTCTCCCGCAGCTGCTCCAGCGCAGCCGCTTGGGCGGCCACTGCGGCCTGGGCCGCCGCCGCTTGGACCGCTGCAGCCTGGGCTGCCACGACAGGGTGGCCTGCGAGGGAGACGGGGAGACGGCTGGGTACGGCGATTGGGATGGAAGAGTCTTCTTCTGCAGGGGGGAGGGGGGCAGAGAGAAGAAGAAGAAGAAGAAGAAGGAGATTGGATTCATACCCCGCCCTTCACTCAGAGTCTCAGAGTGGCTTCTGATCTCCTCTCCCTTCCCCTCCCCGCAACAGACAACCCTGCGAGGTAGAGGCGGCGCGATTCAGACCAGCAGTCGCTCTCCGGGGTCTGAGCCCTTTTGTGCGGCTCAACTTCACAGTGCACTGGAACCGACCCGCAAAGCGGGGTCCACCCCCCTGGGCAAAGGCCCCCCCCCAACCACCCCACCGACCCCACAGTGGAGAGTTACCCTTCTTGATTTTTGCAACGGGGGCGACGGGGCTGCCGTTGGTCGCCGAGGCCATCCCCAGGGCGGGAACTTGAAGCTTGGGGGAGGAGAGCATGCCCGGGGTGCCGCTCGGGGAGTAGGTGAAGATGGAACCGCAGAAGCCCTGGCGCCGCCCCTCGCGCCGGTTGCTGTCGATGGCGGCCTGAAGCTCGTTGGGGTTGCTCAAGCCCCGCTTCTCACACTCGTAAGGGTATAAGTACTTCATATACCTTGCAGAGAGAGAGAGAGAGAGAGAGAGAGAGAGATGCACATTAGTATCCCCACACGGCAGAGAAGAAGAGGAGATTGGATGTATACCCCGCCCTTCACTACCCGAAGGAGTCTCAGAGCAGCTTACAAACTCCTATCCCTTCGCCTCCCCACAACAGGCACCTTGTGGGCAATGCTCCCTCTAAGCTGTGGAGCCCTGTGAGCAAAAATTCTACTTTGTGAGCTACGGCCATTAAAGTTGTGAGCAAGCAATCTGGCTACTGCATTAATTAGTCTGCTCTGGAGCCCTCCTTCCTGAGCTGAGACAAAAAGGTGTGAGCCGGAGGCTAAAGAACTGTGAGCTAGCTCACACTAACTCAGCTTAGAGGGAACGCTGCTTGTGGGGTAGGTGGGGCTGAGAGAGCTCTTTCAAGAACAGCTCTGACAGAAGTACGGCTCGCAGCAGGCGCAAGTGGAGGAGTGGGGAATCAAACCCGGTTCTCCCAGATTAGAGTCCGCGCACTTAATCACAACACCAAACCGAGAGAGGGAGGGAGGCCGATAGAGAGAGAGAGAGAGGGTGGACAGAACATATAGTTTAGGGAACTCCTTGCCACTAGATATGGCCAGCAACCCCTTTGAAAAGGGGATTTGACCAATTAGTTAAAAAGGGGATTTGGCCAATTAGGGGGGCGGGGGGGGGGGTCTTTCTAGGGTTGCCAAGTCCTGCCTGGCTGCCTGCGGGGAGGGGGGGGGAGCCTCCTGGTTCCTCCTTGAAAATCCATCACTTCACTTGCGTGCTGCAATGTTGTCACCTTGGGGGCGATGGTCTAGATTTTGAGCAAAACTCTATGGTTCTGGGGGGGGGGTTTGCCTCAAAATCATAGAGTTCTACCCGAGACCTAGAGCGCCCCCTCTGTCGGAAACGCAATGACGTCACTACCGGGTGATGTCATCGCACCAGAGCCAGTGGTGCTGGGGGGGGTTCCTGGGGGGGGGGGCTTCCCCTGTCGACTGCCTGAGCTGCGGCGGATCGCCCCCCCCCCGGAATCTGAGGACCCCCTGGCCCCACCGGCGGGATGGCAACCCTAGGTCTATCGATGGCAACCAGCTGCAGTCGCAGGACACAGGAGACTGCCACATGCTGAATCAGACCCTTGACCCGTCAAGTTCACTATTGCCTACTCTGACTGGCAGCCGCTCCCCAGGATCTTGGTTAGCCGTCCTTCACATCACCTACTACCTCGTTGTTTCAACAGGAGGTGCCAGGGATTGAACTTGGGGACATTCCGCAGCGCCAAGCTGATGCTCTACCACTGAGCTGTGCCCCCCACCCCGGTTGCCTCTCAGGGACTACGGCTCATCTCCTTCTTTTTAAAGACGGTGGTTTGTATTCCTCATGCTTGTTCCCAAAAGGCCTTTACTGGCATTCTGTTTGTTGGTGGTGACCAGTGTTCCCTCTAAGCTGAGTTAGTGTGAGCTAGCTCACAGCCTTTTAGCCTCTGGCTCGCACATTTTTGTCTTCGCTCAGGAAGGATGGCTCCAGAGCAGACTAATTTAGGCAGCAGCCAAATCGCCCACTCACAACTTTAATGCCACTAGCTCACAGAGCGGAATTTTTGCTCACAAGACTCAACAGCTTAGAGGGTGCATTGGTTAGGAGCTGTGTTCCCTCTAAGCTGAGTTAGTGTGAGCTAGCTCACAGTTCTTTAGCTTCCAGCTCGCACATTTTTGTCTTCACTCAGGAAGGGTGGCTCCAGAGCAAACTAATTTATGCCGTAGCCAAATCACTCGCTCACAACTTTAATGCCAGTAGCTCATAAAGTGGAATTTTTGCTCACAACACTCCACAGCTTAGAGGGAGCATTGTGTTACTTAGGACAAAAAGCGAGGGTGGAACGGCAACCTGCTCAAATAAAACCACCTTATGGGGGGGGCATAATGGCTTTCATTCTCCCCCCCCCCCAACTATCTTCGTTGCAGGTTAATATTCCTACACAACAAAGAACCACAGAGTCTTCCTCGGAGGCGGCTAGGTTTTTCCAAGAGGCCTGCGGCTGCGAAGGAGTTAAAAGCAGGCCACTCTTCCTCCCCCACCAATCCCCTTCCACCACCTGGTCCTCTGAATTCCAGACTAATTAACTTTAGCCTCAATTAGAGTGGGTATAAAGGGGGTGGTGGTGGCGGCAACCGGAGTGAGAGAGAGGATTGGCCCACCCCCATCCGTGACAGAATTAGAGGTTACCCTGATCTTGCATAATTCAAGCTAAAAATATGAAGATAACATAAACACACACACACACACAAACCACTACATCAGTAGCCTGGGTCCTTTGAGATCCTAAATCTTAAGGATCTCCAAGCAAAAACTTAAATTCAACATCATTAACCACTGAGACATCTGGTTCTTACTAGAGTTGTAGTATGCGATGCTGTATTGTATTTTAAAATGTAAACTGTGTTTTAAATTGTTTTAGTTGTATTGTATTTTATTGTTGGAAGCCGCCCTGAGCCCATCAAGGGGGAGGGGCGGGATATAAATAAATAAATAAATAAATCCCAACCAATGCTCCCTCTAAGCTGTGAAGTCCTGTGAGCAAAAATCCTACTTTGTGAGCCACTGGCATTAAAGTGGTGAGCGAGCGATTTGGCTGCTGCATCAATTAGTTTGCTCTGGAGCCCTCCTTCCTGAGCTGAGACGCAAATCTGTGAGCTGGAGGCTAAAAAACTGTGAGCTCGCTTACACTAACTCAGCTTAGAGGGAACACTGCTCCCAATGGAGATTTGTCCACACAGTGTATTAAAAGGAGCTAAACCCATTCATACATAAAAGGTTTATTCAGCTGCCCCCACCCCACCCCCGCTGCCAGTAGGCAAGGTAAGGTTCTGTGCAAAATTTAAATTTAAAAAATACGTTCAAGCAAATACAACCTCGGCTGCATATCTCCCATTTCGAGAACCTTTTAAAGATATCACTGATCTGACACAGAACCTCCATTCTCAGAGGCAGTCTACCTTCTGGGTGCTGGAGATAAAAATGGGGAGGGCCGCGTGCTCTCTGTGCCCCACCTGCGGGCTTCCGAAAGAGCTATCCTCTGTTGAGAACAGGACGCTGGACCAGATGGTCCTTCGGCCTCCCCCCCCCTCGGGCAAACACGATTCTTCTTTTCCCCCTCATTCCAATGGGATTTAACGGTGTGCTATTAAAAGGCACTGGGGCTTATGTCAATTTGTATTCCTTCAGCAAGGCTTGCTAAACACCGCTAATGAGGAAGTGAGTAAGGAAACCGTTGCAGGGACCTAGCTGATAAAGCAGAACTCCTTGAGAGAGCCGAGGGGTTCTGCCCCGTTGCCAGTACAGCGGTCCCCAACGCGGTGCCGGCTGACACCTTTCCCAGTGCTTTTAGAAAGCGGGCGGGGCTTTTGCCCAGTGAGGCTTCTGATCGGCCACTGGAAATTCGATTGGCTATGCAGATTTCTTAAAAACGTTGCTTTGGCGACAGCTGCCACCGCTGCCCAAGGATCTTCACTGTGGGGGCCACTTTGGGGCTGGCTTCACCTCCCGCGGCAGGCGTTTATGGCAGCTGGTTTGTGGCTGTGCCTGCCACGCCATATTAGAACTCCAAAGGTGCCCACGGTCCCCCAAAAAGGTCAGGGTTCCCTGCTCCGATATTTACTATAAAAATCAAATTCACAGAACCAAGGAACACTTGGGGTGTTCGTTAACGTCAGACGTGTACTTCATTATCCCACGTACTTGAGCACAGACATATGGGGTGGGGGAACTCTCCATTCCTGAAGATTCTCTTTGGTCGCCTTCCCAGTGGGGCCCGGAGTTCTCCTGGAATTACAACTCATCTCCAGGCAACGTAGGTTATTTCCCACAGAGAAAATGGCTGCTTTGGAGGGTGGACTTTTCGGAATCACATCTCTGTGGTGGCCCTCTCCCCTCCCCAAACTCCACCCTTCCCAGGTAGCACCCCTAATCTCCAGGAAATTCCCAACCTGGAGTTGGCAGTCTTAAGAACATAAAGGTAAAGGTAACGGTTCCCTTGCTCGAAAGCCAGTCGAATCCAACCACGGAAACGTCTTCGGACAGTGCTGGCTCTTCGGCTTGGAAACGGAGATGAGCACCACCCGCTGGCTCTCGAGCAAAGGAAACCTTTACCTCTCTAAATGTTCTTATTATATTGTTAAATATTTATATATACACAATTTAAAATGTTGTTTTTCTGTTTTAAGTGAGGGGGACCCCAAACTTTTTGAGCCTGTGGGCACATTGAGAATTCTGACACGGTGTGGTGGGCGCAGGCCCATAGGTACAGTGGGCCATTTGGGGGCCTGCCCCCCGACTTCCTGCCAAAGCCCCCCTGACTTCCATCCAGCCTTCACCACCACCCCCGGGTCTCTGGGATGCCCGGAGGACTACCAACTCTCTGAGCCATCCTGCGGACTCCCTGCTGCCTCCCCTTCCCCAAGCATGGCTTGCTTCCCTGCGTAGGCAGGCAGAGTGCGAATGCTGCAAAAGTGAGTTTTTAAAATCTTTAATTTTATTTTATTCTGTGACATCAGTGCCCCCCGACCAATGTTCCCTCTAAGTTGTGGAGTCTTGTGAGCAACAATTCTACTTTGTGAGCTACTGGCATTAAAGTTGTGAGCCAGCGATTTGGCTACTGCATAAGTTAGTTTGCTCTGGAGCCATCCTTCCTGAGCCAGGACAAAAATGTGTGAGCCGGAGGCTAAAAAACTGTGAGCTGGCTCACACTAACTCAGCTTAGAGGGAACACTGCCCCCGACTTATTTAAAGGCCCCCCCCAAATGATAAAATCCTGGCTACAGGCCTTGGTAGGCGCAGCAACAAGATGGCTGCCGCAAGAGGGGGGGCGCCAATCACAAAACGGTTTCCAATGCTTCACCTCGGAAACACACTGTGTAGATCCCTGGTGCTGTGGGCGCCAGCCGCTGCCAAAAGAACATTTTAAAAAATCTGCACAACCCATCAAATCTCCAGTAGCCAATCAGAAACCTTGCTGGGCAAAACCCCTGTTTGGTCCCGCCCACCTCCTAAAACCATTGGGCAGGTGCCAGCAAAAGTGTTGGTGGGTGCCACTGGGCTTGTGTGCATGGGCACGTGTTTTAAATGTTTTAATGCCTTGATATTCGCCACCTTGGGGATCCTTATTTGGGTGGGAAAGGAGCATAATGCCGATGGTTTTTGAAAAAATCAAAACCAAAGCTAAAATTCTTATTTATATCATCATCACCATCATCATCAATACAAGAAATCGAGGGCACTCAATGAGATTGCTGAGTAGTCGGGTTAGAACAGATAAAAGGAAGTCCTTCTTCACCCAAAGACTGATTCACTTGTGGAATTCACTGCCACAGGAAGTGGTGGCAGCTACAAGCATGGACAGCTTCAAGAGGGGATTGGATGAACATATGGAGCAGAGGTCCATCACTGGCTATTAGCCACAAGGTATAGGTAGGAACTCTCAGTCTGGGGCAAGTGATGCTCTGTATTCTTGGTGCTTGCGGGGGGGGGGGAACAGTGAGAGGGCTTCTAGTCTCCTGGCTCCACTGGTGGACCTCCTGATGGCACCTGGTATTTTTGGCCACTGTATGACAGAGTGTTTGACTAGATGGGCCATTGGCCTGATCCAACATTGGCTTCTCTTATATTCTTATGTTCTTATACCTTTTATTGGCATACCTTCTTATTTATAGATCACATGACAGAAGGGATAAACCAAACCCCAGTCCAATATGGAGCTAACAAAGAATGCAGAAGAAAGCAGCAGTAAACCCAAGGAGCCCCACCTGATTACCTGGCCATGGCATACCTTGCACACTTTTACACCTGAGTGTCCCAAAATTCACGTGTCACCGGGTTCCCTCTAAGCTGAGTTAGTGTGAGCTAGCTCACTGCTTTTTAGCCTCTGGCTCACACAGTTTTGTCTTAGCTCAGGAAGGATGGCTCCAGAGCAAACTAACTGATGCAGTAGCCAAATCGCTAGCTCACAGCTTTAATGCCAGCAGCTCACAAAGTAGAATTTTTGCTCACAAGACACCACAGTTTAGAGGGAGCATTCAGCATCTTTGGGTTCTTCCCCCTTAAATGCAAAGGAAATATGTGCTGCATCACTGCCTCATTTTCTCAAGAATGAGTCCAGTAAAAATGATCCACACATAAAGCTCTCAAGTTGTTTGTATATAACCAGACCCACGTTAGATTAGTTTGTTTGTCCCCCCTGATCAAATATCTCCTTTCAAAAATTTGTTGACTTGGGGGCACATGGAATTAGGGACTTTTAGAACTTCCTTCACTAAATATAACGCAAGTATGCAGATGAAAAACAAACATGCTGAACCAGATTCATGTGCTATTCGGGGCATCGGAAAAAGTTTCAAAACACTTTCCAGAAAGCTCGCATCGCTGAGCACCGTCCACAAGCCAGGTGACCGATACCAGTGCTTATGACAGACGTTGACATCTTCAAAGGAGAATGACACTAACCGTATGACCCTGTGGCACCCAGAGTCTCTAATCTGGGAGAACCGGGTTTGATTCCCCACTCCTCCACTTGCACCTGCTGATGTGACCTTGGGTCAGTCACAAGCTCTGGCACAGCTGTCCTTGAAAAAGAGCCGTTTCTGTCAGAGTTCTCTCAGCCCCACCCACCTCACAGGGTGCCTGTTGTGGGGAGGGGAAGGGAAAGGAGTTTGTAAGCCGCTCTGAGACTCCAAGTGAAGGGCGGGGTATAAATCCAATCTCCTCCTCCTCCTCCTCCTCCTCTTCTTCTTTCCAGCTCAGCAGGGTCTACTCTGTTTGGTAGCAGCTCTCCCACGTTGCAGTTACAGAACCTGGAACATCTGGGGTACAAATATGCCCCTAACCTGCTGCCTCTCCCCTTCTGCTCCAAAGGGATGTTCCCATCACACGAGAAGGGAACGGAGCAGAGTACCCTGGGGCCAAATGGAAAACCAACCGTTCATCAAGCTTGGTCTCGTCGGATCTTGGAAGCTATGCAGGGCTGACCCTGGCGAGAATTCGGGAATACCAGGGCCAGGCTGCAGAGGCAGGCGATATCAAAGCCACCTCTCTGAAACGTCCTGGCCCCACTAGGGGTCGCCAGAAGTCACCATGACTTCCAGGCTTGCAAGTACACCCACACACGCACCAAAAATACACACACACACACACACATACAAAAAGAGGAAACCCTTCCATTTTAAGGTGATGCAGCCCTGCATTGCTGCCCACACCCTCCAACAAGCGACAGTTCCTGGCCTCTCTCTGTTGTTCAAAGGAATTCCTCTCCCAAGGGAGGAGGAGGAGGAAGAGGAGGAGGAGGAAGAAGAGATTGGATTTATACCCCGCCCTTCACTCGGAGTCTCAGAGCGGCTTTCAATCCCCTTCCCTTCCCCTCCCCACAACAGACACCCTGTGAGGTAGGTGGGGCTGAGAGCGCTCTTTCGAGAACTGCCCTTGAGAGAACTTGTGACTGACCCAAGGTCACCCAGCTGGCTGCACGTGGAGGAGTGGGGAATCAAACCCGGTTCTCCCAGATTAGAGTCCATGCTCCTAACCACTACACCAAACTGGCTCATGACTAATTAGGAGGCCATGGCAAAAGGAGTCTCAGAGCGGCTTACCATCCCCTTCCCTTCCCCTCCCCGCAACAGACACCCTGTGAGGTAGGTGGGGCTGAGAGCGCTCTTTCGAGAACTGCCCTTGAGAGAACTTGTGACTGACCCAAGGTCATACCAGCCGGCTGCATGTGGAGGGGTAATGCCAGCTCCCCCTTGGAAGAGGTGTTCCCTTCCTTTTCTCTCTCCTATGCAGAAGGGAATGTCTCTCGCAATCTGCAGATCCAAGGACTCGCATCAAAAAAATATTTCTGAAAAACCCTGAAAAGACTGCTCCCCGGCCAAGCGGAAACGTCGTCCCGATTGACCAACCGGCCCGCTTCAATCAGAGCAAGTGGCTGCAGCCCCAGGAACGGCTTCCGGTACTTACTGGGTGCGGAGAGTGAAGGCGGCGCTGGTGATGGAGGTGGGCAGGTTCAAGCCCTTGGTGATCTCCCGCCAGAGCTTCTTGTTGATCACCTCCACCAGGCCGCCCTTCTCGGTCACCAGGACATAGAGCATGTAGAGGTCCAGCACCTGCTTGGCCATGATCGGAATGCGGTTCACAGGGGTCCCTGCGGACAGAAAAAGAAACAAGGAGGCGGGTTTGGACGGTCTCGGCATGTCACTCAAGAGAGGGATCCCCCCCGCCCCCCGGGGGGCTGCGGAACTCTCAGTTTGTGTTTGTCGAGCCAAGCTGGCAGCCCGCGCAATGGCAAAGAGGTGGGAAATCCTGCTGAGCTCAGCTGTCAAACGGCCGGGCGTAGAAGATGTCAGCACGGACGTCCATGCCCTCCCTTACCTGACCCCCTGTCCCGAGGGAGTGAAAGAGAGCATCTGGATCAGGGTTCAGAATCAGTTCGGTGTAGGGGTTAAGTGCGCGGACTCTAATCTGGGAGAACTGGGTTTGATTCCCCACTCCTCCACTTGCACCTGGCTGGATGACCTTGGGCAAGCCATAGTTCTGTCAGAGCTGTTCTCAAAAAAAAGCAGTCCTCGAAAGAGCTCTCTCGGCCCCACCTACCTCACAGGGTGTCTGCTGTGGGAAGGGGAAAGGAAAGGAGATTGTAAGCCGCTCTGAGACTCCTTCGGGCAGCGAAGGGCAGGGTACAAAGCAGCCACGGTGCCCACGGACACCTTTCCTGGCGCTTGCCACGTGTTTTTCAAAAGTGGGCGGGGCCAGGTAGGGCTTTTGACCAGCAGGGCTTTTGATTGGCCACGGCAGATTTGATCTTCACTGTATGGCTGAAGATAAAGCTGCGTAAGGGGGAAAATATTTCTAAACACTTTTTCGGTCGCACCCTCCCACCAGTGTAAGAATCCCAAAGGTACCAGCAGGCACAAAAAAGTCGGGGAACCCCTGCTCTAGATGTTACGACTGTCAGCGTCAGGGGTCGTTTCGTAGAAAAAGAGCTAGGGGAACTCATTAGCATAACTCATTAGCATATGCCACACACCCCTGACATCACCGGAAGTGTGTCATAAGGCCACACCCCCTGACATCACTGGAAGTGTGTCATAAGGCCACACACCCCGCCCCCAACGGTCCCGGCTGCTGCTGCCGGCCTTGCAGCTCCACTGCCGAGCCCCATGAGGGGCCCGGCGGTGGAAGCAGGGGGCGGGGCTTCGTCATGTGCCCCGCCCCCCGTACCTCACCCGGGGGAACTGCGATCCCCCGCGATCCCCCCGAAATGACCTCTGGTCAGCGTAGACTGCAGCCATTCCAATCTTACTTTTTATTTGCTGCATTTTCACCCCCTCCCCCTCCCTTTCTCTCCAACGGGGCCCCCAAGCAGCATACGTCATTCTCCAGTCCTCCATTTTATTCTCACAACAACCCTGTAAGGTAGTTAGGCGGACAGTGGGCGAATGGCCCAAGGTCACCCAGCAAAGCTGCCACGGCAGAGTAAAAATTCGAACCAGGGTCCTCCTGGAGACATCGCTTTACTTTCTTTCAAGCGGAGTTTTGCAAAGATCGAAGGCTGGGATTTTGGTTTTTTTTTTTAAATTTTGGATTTTACAGAAACGGGACGATTCTCTGGCTGCTCGACCAGATGCCTCAAAACAGGACAGCTGCCATACAATGCTCCCTTCTAAGCTGTGAAGTCCTGTGAGCAGAAATTCTACTTTGTGAGCTGCTGGCATTAAAGTGGTGAGCGAGCGATTGGGCTGCTGCATAAATATAAATCGCTCTGGAGCCCTCCTTCCTGAGCGAAGACAAAAATGGGCGAGCCGGAGGCTAAAAAACTGTGAGCTAGCTCACACCAACTCAGTTTAGAGGGAACACTGGCTGCGAATGTCCACTGGGGGACTGAATCGGAGAGTTCCAGGGACGTTGCAAATTATGGGGGGTGGGGGAACAATCTCCAACAGTGGATTTCTGCACCAAAAGACCGGCTGGCTTCTGTCCACAGGGGTGTGGGTTTTATGGTAGGGAGGGGAGAAAGGAAGTCTTTCAGTTCCAGCCAGAGTGGTAGGCGCGGCAATGGGGTGGGAAGCGCATGTATGTGCTCGTACACACACACACACACAAACGTGCACACACAGAGAGACGTTTCTTTGCCTCTCTCTCCTGCCCCCTTTCCCCTTTTATTGATTTATTACTTCCTAAAAAAAAAAGCGTGAAACAAAACCCAGCGAGAAACCACCCCATTGTGGCCAGGGGTTTTAATCCGGTGGTGTCTTCCTGCAATAAAAAAGAAAAAAAAGATGGCTGGGCTGGGAGGGGGGGGAAGGAAGGAAGAGGAAAAGAGAGCATGCCGCTGCTCAAAGACCAGATTTGTTATGCGCAAAACTTCAGGCATTTCCGGCCAGAGCGGCTTTCCTTCCAGCCTCGGTAGCCCCGTCTGCAAAACAGGAACAGCGAGCGCTCCACGTGCAAAATATCTCAAGGGTAGGCCACGAAGGATCCTGCCCTGGTAAGAGGCCTGGTGGTGGGGAGGGGGTGTGCATCTGCCACACTCAAGCCCGGAGCCGTTTCCAGGAAAGTACCCCCCCCCCGCCCACTTGTTTGCTCTGTGCATGATGTGCAAAACTTAATCTGGAAGGCCAGTGTGGCACACACTGCACGCCGTCCTCTTGAGCCAGGGAGAGAGACGGATTTGAAACCTAATCTGTCAAAAAGGGTTGTTGTAGAGGGGGGCGGGATAACCCTATAAACGTGAAGCGGTTCCCCCCCCCCCCAGTGGTATTGTCACCAACAACAATTTGCTGGCTCCTTACCCACACTGGGGTAATTACTAGACGGAAGAGACTCCTACGCTGTCGGCAAATAAAACACTTTCATGCCATTTCCCCCAAAGCGGAAACACAGGTGCGCGCTCTGCATGCGTTTATGTGCTGTTCCCTTAGCGGCGCATGACGTTCCCAACTCAGTAGCACAGCACAGCTCAGAAGCTTAACCAAACGGCAGCTGTAACATCTCACAAGCGACAGGAGTGGTCTGATAGTGCCAGTGCCGTGAATTTTTCGGGGGGGGGGGAAGAACACATGGTACGGTGAATGTCCAGTGTGGGTCGGCTTGAGCCAGGGGAAAGCTGGCTGTGGCTCGTTTTTAACTGGGAGGCGTCGGCGCATTTGCCAGAGGAGTTTTGCAACCAGCGAGTCTGAATTTATTTATTTTTTACAAAAGGTGGAGAAGGTCAAAAATGAAGGGCAAACAGACGCAGGGCCAGAGACGAGAGCCAAGGCAGCCGGCCTCTGCTGGCCTGGCGTGGCTGCAGACCAGGTTCAAACTACAGGTTGTGCTTTCATGCTCTGTGGCACAGCTAAGTGAGGGGGGGGGGAAGCTTCAAAAATCAGTTTGGGGAGCCCCAGCAATTGCTGCTTCTGTGCTTTTCATTTTGGGAGAGGGAGAGAAAGCAACAACAACAACAAAAATCACAGAAGATCTGTGGCACCCCGCGGGTGCTCGCACCCGAGTAACTGGCTGTGAAGATCTGTGGCACCCCTCCCTGGTGCCCCGTGGGCGCCCACACCCAAGGAACTGGCTGCGAAGCACCTTGCCGCCGTTTCGTGCCATCTTTTTTTCTCATCAAGCGGCGTTTACAGTCCGTATCATCCTGGCATTCCAACTGCGTAAACCAAGGACGGCAGCTCCTTCCTTCCTTCCTTCCTTCCTCGAAAACAAGTTGATGGGTCTTTGCAGCCATCCCCACACACCATTTCCCCAGCCAGCACTGAATTATGCCCCTCCTTTCCCCTTTTCCTGCAAAGAGGCAGCGATTGAAGGATCCTCCTTCCGGCACTGTCTGCATCATGCTGAGCTCAGGGTGGACAGAAGGTCCCCCCCCCCCAAAGATTCTAGACCTGCAGAAAAAGCCTGGTGAGTCCCATCCCTCCCTTGCCATTTCTGAGGATACCAGCCACACACACCCCAGTCCAAGCAAAGCCAGCATTTCCCGGGAGTCGAGGCCATCTAGGCTCCCCCCCCCCCCCTTGGTTTAATGCAAACCTGTTCCGTCTCGGCCTTTGTAAACACAGACAAGAATGTCAGTAAAACCCCCGTGTAAACAGGAATTCGGCTGCTCTCTCCTCATCTGGTCCGGTCTGCTTGGCCCCACCCCAGGCGCTGCCATTTCGGGAAGATTGTTTTTTTTTTAAAGTTACGAACTCGGCCTTTTACAGCAGGAGCCCATCGGATTCTTTTTTTTTTAATCTTTAAGGCTCATTTGTAAGAAAACGTTTTAAGGCCCCCGGAAACGGGTCTCTATTTTTTCATTACAACAGATTAAAAGTCAGGTATGTTTGTACCTGGAATACAATCAGAGTCATGGCGGCAGACTATAAAACAGTCAAAAAGTTTTTAAAAAGCAGAGATTGGTGGAAGAGTCGTGGCTCTGGCAGTCTTTGCACCTTTCTCTGCGTCGACTGCCCCTTTGTGCACATACGAAGAGACTAGATTTATACCTGGAATATACCCTTCACTAGCCAAAAGAGTCTCAGAGTGGCTTACAATCGCCTTTCCCTTCCTTTCCCCACAACAGACGCCCTGTGAGGGAGGTGGGGCTGAGAGAGCTCTTTCGAGAACTGCCCTTGAGAGAACAGCTCTGAGAGAACTTGTGACTGACCCAAGGTCACACCAGCAGCTGCATGTGGAGGAATGGGAAATCAAACCCAGTTCTCCCAGATTAGAGTCCAAACTCTTAACCACGACACCAACCTGCACATCTTCCCTGTATGTACAGTTCACACACAGTGCACAACAGGGTTCACATGTATCACTCAGTGTCAGTCTTGTACACCTGCCATGACACACTTCCCCGAAACAGGGCAATCGATGTTCTCTTCCACCATCGCCACCAAATCCCTTCCCCAGCAACAGCCCATAATAGCCCCAGCCTCTCCCTAGGCCATCCGCAGTGACTGTTTTCTAAATTTCTGAGCAGCTGGAATGTTCATGAACATTCCGTAGCACCATGCCAGCCAAGCAAACAGCTACGGAAATGTCATTTCGATCCACTGAAACGATACCGTACTAACAGGCCAAGAGCTAGGCAGGTTTCAAGAACAGCAGCCTGCACTTGCCTTGGGAATAGGGCTCCCTCCCTTATTCATCTGCTTCGTTTCTACACCAACTTTTCTCCCCAATGGAGTCCTGAACCGGCTTCCGTCATTCCCTTCTCCTCCATTTTATCCTCACGACAACCCTGTGAGGTAGGTTAGGCTGTGAAAGTGTAACTGGCCCAAGGTCACCCAGCAAGCTTCCATGGCATGCGTGGGGATTTGAACCCAGGTCTCCCAGATCCTAGTCTGGCACTCTTGACCACTATAACACACTGGCTCTCATCTATCTACCTATCTCCCTACCTCATTTACACCCCACCTTTCTCCCCAATGGGGATCCAGGGCGGCTTACATCATTCTCCCTTCCTTCATTTTGTCTTCACAACAATCCTGTGAGGTAGATTAGCTGACAGTCTGTGACTGGCCCAAGGTCACCCGGCAAGCTTCCATGGCAGAGCAGGAATTCGAATCTGGTTCTACCAGATCCCGACCTGACACATGCTGGCCCTGGGTTGAGGCCGTCTGATTTGGAAGGGGATACGCTCAAAAAGGGCCGTGGTGGCTCAGAGGTTAAGATGCTGAGCTGGTCTGTAGGAAGGTCTGTAGTTTGGCAGTTTGAGACCTGAGTACTGTGTGACGGAGTGAGCTCCCGTCTCTGGCCCCAGCTCCTGCCAGCCTAGCAGTTCGAAAGCAAGAAATTGCAAGTAGATAAACAGGTACTGCTTCGGTGGGAAGGTAACAGCGTTCCGTGTGCCTCGGTGTTTAGTCATGCTGGCCACATGACCACAGAAACGTTTTTGGACAGCGCTGGCTCTTCAGCTTGGAAACAGAGATAAGCACCGCCCCCTAGAGTCAGATTCAACTGGCTTTCAAGCAAGAGAAACCTTTACAGCTCGAAAACCCTGCTATATTCCTACAGATCATCCTGTTCCGTGCCTTGACGCATCTCTCCGGGACCTTCCGCCAGTGCCAGAAAAAGATGCTCGGTGCAAAGCAGACATGCTAGAGAGAAAGACTGGCTGCGCAACAGACAGATGCGGTGTGGGGGCAGCTCACCTCGCTTCTGCATGAAGCTGAAGAGGTCGTCCAGGAACTCTTTCCTCTTGGGGTCCCCGTCAAGTTCATATAGCTGTAGGGGGAGAAAGAACAGGCTGGTTACATACCGTGCAAATGCAACGTAGGTGTTCTATTTCTATATTTTAATATGGAGTTTTAATTGCATGTTGCCATGATTTAAAGGCGAACCTAAACAGCATGATAAAAAATAGAGACATCACCCTGCCAACAAAAGTCCGCATGGTCAAAGCAATGGTATTCCCAGTAGTCATGTATGGCTGCGAGAGTTGGACTATAAGGAAGGCCGAGCGCAGAAGAATAGATTCTTTTGAACAATGGTGCTGGAGAAGACTCTTGAGAGTCCCTTGGACTGCAAGGAGATCAAATCAGTCAATCCTAAAAGAAATCAACCCTGACTGTTCCCTGGAAGGCCAGATAATGAAACTGAAGCTCAAATACTTTGGCCACCAAATGAGAAGGGAGCACTCACTGGAGAAGACCCTGATGCTGGGAAAGATTGAAGGTCAAAGAAGACGGGGACGGCAAAGGATGAGATAGTTAGACAGTGTCATAGATGCAACGAACATGAAATTGAGCAAACTTCAGAGGACGGCGGAAAACAGGAGGGCCTGGCGAGATCTTGTCCATGGGGTTGCGAAGAGTCGGACTCGACTGTGCGACTGAACAACAACAAAAATGATTTAAAGTGGAGGCTTGCAGGGTAAGAAAAAGAGGGGCTGGATAGGTGATTGAAGGGTGCAATGATCAGATGGTAGCGTACCTTAAGAGGCAGAGGGGACTGGGTTGTTCAGGAAGATTTTTGTGTGTGATACTGCTGAGCTGTGCATGCGTGTGTAGGAAGGAGCTGGAGTGAGGGGCTGTAGCGCGCTGTGAGAGAAATCTGTGTTCTTTGTGGAGGATATTAGCCCAAGTGGCAAGTGAAGAAAACAAGTCCGTGTGGGAGTTAGCAGCCTGGGTGACAAGTGAACAAAATAACCCTGCGTGGAAGTTATTAGCCTAGGTGGCAAAGTCACACAGTGGCCCACCAGTTCCTCTAGAGGCCAAGGCCTTCCCTTATAAGAACATAAGAGCCTTGCTGGATCAGACCAGTGGTCCATCTAGTCCAGCATCCTGTCTCACACAGTGGCCAACCAGTTCCTCTGGATGGCCAACAACAGGGCATAGAGACCATGGCCTTCCCTAATAAGAACATAAAAAGGGCCCTGCCGGATCAGACCAGTGGTCCATCTAGTCCAGCTTTGTGGAAGTCATTGGCCTCAGCGCCAAGTAAGAAAATAAGCCTGTGTATTTTGGTCTGTTTAAGGAACCATTACATTTCTGTACCTATCTGAAACCACTGAGCTTATGAGCCACACGGAAACAATTGCACTGTTACAAATAAATTCTATGTTTAAGAAAAACAACCGTTGTTTTGGTGCAAAGGGTCCCTTTTTACCTCAGGGCCACCCCCAGCCACTGACCATTCTGTCATTCTACCAAATAGGACTAAAGTCATCTTGTTCTTTGGGTCCAACTGAGATTTTAAGGCGAGAGCCTCTGGTGGCAGCGAAAATAAGGAAGACAAGGAGGCAGCATAGCACACGTCACCTCAGAACAATACAGAGAGGTGCCTTCACAGAAGTTACTCATAAAGGGGTCACATGGAAAAGAGTGAAAAACATTACATATACACCAAGCAGACAGATGTAGCAAATGCCAACAGGGTATGAGATGGGTCCCTATGAAGAACTGTAAGAACATAAGAAGACCCTTCCTGGATCAGACCAGAGGTCCATCTAATCCACTAGAGACTAGTCCACTAGTCTCACACAGCGGCCTACCAGTTCCTCTTGAAGGCCAACAACAGGGCAGAGAGGCCAGGGCCTTCTTAAATACATCAGAAAAGCCCTGCTGGATCAGACAAATAGTCCATCTAGTCCAGTATCCTGCCTCACACAGTGGCCCACCAGTTCCTCTAGAGGCCAAGGCCTTCCCTTATAAGAACATAAGAGCCTTGCTTGATCAGACCAATGAGCCATCTAGTCCAGCATCCTGTCTCACACAGTGGCCAACCAGTTCCTCTGGAGGACCAACAACAGGGCATAGAGACGATGGCCTTCCCTAATAAGAACGTAAAAAGGGCCCTGCTGGATCAGACCAGTGGTCCATCTAGTCCAGCATCCTGTCTCACACAGTGGCCAACCAGTTCCTCTGGATGGCCAACAACAGGGCATAGAGACCATGGCCTTCCCTAATAAGAACGTAAAAAGAGCCCTGCTGGATCAGACCAGTGGTCCATCTAGTCCAGCATCCTGTCTCACATAGTGGCCAACCAGTTCCTCTGGAGGGCCAACAGCAGGGCATAGAGGCTGAGGCCCTCCCTTGGTAAGAACATAAGAAGAGACCTCCTGGATCAGACCAGAGGTCCATCTAATCCACTAGAGACTAGTCCACTAGTCTCACACAGCGGCCTACCAGTTCCTCTTGAAGGCCAACAACAGGGCAGAGAGGCCAGGGCCTTCTTAAATACATCAGAAAAGCCCTGCTGGATCAGACAAATAGTCCATCTAGTCCAGTATCCTGCCTCACACAGTGGCCCACCAGTTCCTCTAGAGGCCAAGGCCTTCCCTTATAAGAACATAAGAGCCTTGCTTGATCAGACCAATGAGCCATCTAGTCCAGCATCCTGTCTCACACAGTGGCCAACCAGTTCCTCTGGAGGACCAACAACAGGGCATAGAGACGATGGCCTTCCCTAATAAGAACGTAAAAAGGGCCCTGCTGGATCAGACCAGTGGTCCATCTAGTCCAGCATCCTGTCTCACACAGTGGCCAACCAGTTCCTCTGGATGGCCAACAACAGGGCATAGAGACCATGGCCTTCCCTAATAAGAACGTAAAAAGAGCCCTGCTGGATCAGACCAGTGGTCCATCTAGTCCAGCATCCTGTCTCACATAGTGGCCAACCAGTTCCTCTGGAGGGCCAACAGCAGGGCATAGAGGCTGAGGCCCTCCCTTGGTAAGAACATAAGAAGAGACCTGCTGGATCAGACCAGTGGTCCATCTAGTCCAGCATCCTGTCTCACACAGTGGCCAACCAGTTCCTCTGGAGGGCCAACAGCAGGGCATAGAGGTTGAGACCTTCCCTGATAAGAACATCAGAAGCGCCCTGCTGGATCAGACCTGTGAGCCATCTAGTCTATCATCCTGCTTCACACAGCCATCAACCACAGTTCCTCTGGAGGGCCAGCAACAGGGCATAGAGGCCGAGGCCTTCCCCTGATGTTGCCTCCTGGCTCTGGAACTCAGAGGTTCAGTGCCTCTGCATGTGGAGGTTCCCCTCAGTCACCACAGCCAGCAGCCAAAACCTTTTAACTTTGAAATGAGTTTTAATGGAAGAAAGGCTGTGTCCCTGCTGCCAATCAGCAAGAACACATAAAATCCTATTTACCGAGTTAACTTACACGCCTGTTTCGTTCAACAGACACGCGAAGCAGCTAACAAGTGTTGAGCCATGTAATGCACTATAACCCAATAGCCATAGAATCACAGGGAACCAATGAGTGGTATTAGTTCTGAGGCGATCCCAAAGAAAGAGGATTCCAGGGGACGTCAAAAGGCCTGCCCGTCAGCCTTAACAGGCGACCCCTCCCTCAGATTCATTTACTTTATTTATATCCACCTTTCTCCTCACAACAGCCTACGTCCTTCTCCTCTCCAGTTTGGTGTATTGGTTAAGTGCGCGGACTCTAATCTGGGAGAACCGGGTTTGATTCCCCAGTCTTCCTCCACTTGCAGCTGCTGGATTACCTTGGGCAAGCCATAGTTCTGTCAGAGCTGTTCTCTCAAGGACAGTTCTGGAAACAGCTCTCTCAGCCCCACCTACCTCACAGGCAGTGTTCCCTCTAAGCTGAGTTAGCGTGAGCTAGCTCACAGCTTTTTAGCCTCCGGCTCACACATTTTTTACTTAGCTCAGGAAGGATGGCTCCAGAGCAAACTCACTTATGCAGTAGACAAATCACTGGCTCACAACTTTAATGCCAGTAGATCACAAAGTAGAATCTTTGCTCACAAGACTCCACAGCTTAGAGGGAGCATTGCTCACAGGGAGTCTGTTGTGGGAAAGGGAAGGGAGTTTGTAAGCCGCCCCGAGACTCCGAGTGAAGGGTGGGGTATAAATCCAATCTCTTCTCCTCCTCCTCCGTTAGTTGTGAGGTTGGTTAGGCTGAGACCAAGCTTCCACGGCATAGCGGGCATTCGAACCTGGGTCGCCTAGTCCGACACTCTTACGACGACACTACGCTAACTCGCATAATTCTCCCTTCTTCCATTTTATCCTCACAACCCTTGTTTGGTAGGTTAGGCTAAGGGCGTGTGAACAAACCAAGGTCAACCAGCAAGCTTCCAGGGCAGACTGGGGATTCCAGCCTGAGTCTCCCAGATCCTAATGCAACACTCTGTCCGCACACAAATACGAAGTTCCCGGCCCACACTGCCTGCAAGAAGCCTGCATCTGGTTTGGGGAGAAGCACAGCGCAGGCCCGTAAGTGAAATAGTCTCAGGCAGACCAGCCCCGCCCTGGTACAACCACTCCGCTTCCGGGCTGGCTCAAGCCCTCATTTAAGGATTAACATGCCAAACCCATCCCTCGTCTAATTAGACGTTGCACCGCGCCTGCAAACCACACGGTCAGCAATCCGGCCCAGGCGGCTGCGGAGCCCGGAGGGGTGACACCACCGAAAATGCCGGGACCCAAGCCACATTCGGACCACGCCCTCCTCCTCTAGGCCTTCCAGGCCTTCCGCCCCCTCCTTCCCACCCCCAGCCGGCTTTCGAGAAGATCTCTTTCGAGGGACGGCTGAATCACGGCGGGAAGGCCATTAAAAGGTTCGGAGAGGTCCTCCATTACTTAATGGAGTGATGGGATTTTTAAAGTGGCTCGAAACCAATTTAAAATACTACCCCCCAAAAAACCCAAAACCAGACCTGAGGAAGAGGCATTTATTTCCTCAGGAGGCCCTGCTCTTTCTAGGACACCGTCCAAGCCCTTTCTTTTTAAGCCAGCCATTTCCC